CAGGAAAGCGGCGAGCGTGTATTCTTTAAGTTCCAGCGATTTTTCAATAAGGCCTAGTACTTCGTGGAGCGCGCTTTCAACAGATCTACCCTTGCGGCATGCGTGTTGGGCTGTGTCCATTGTGTGGATACTAATACTTTCCCTAATATGCAGATCGATTAGTCTCTCCAGTGTTTCTAGTATGGACCATGAAAGACTTATCGGTCTGAAGCCCTTTGACAGTGAGTGGCTTATCTTCCCTGCTTTGGGGATGAATATAACCTTCACCTTCCTCCATGCTTTCGGTACATATCCGCTTTCTTAGCATCTTGCGAAAATGTCAAATGGGGTACCAGACTCCCACATGAGTATTGAACGGATCGAAAGATTTGATGGCCCAAGCTACTTTCTCATTGTTCACTATATCTGAAACCTCTTCTGAAGGAGCACGATTTGTCACATGATTACTGACCATTTGGTCCGTGCTGCCTGGAAAGCATTCAAGAGTTTCCTGGCTGGAGGCCGTCCAAGAGCCATCTGACCTCAAGACACTACACAGATTCGCGTCCGACCTGGTTAGTACCTTGCGGAGCCTCGACGTCTAATTTGTGGTCTCCAGCGTTCCGCAGAACTCTTGCCAGGATTCCTTCTTTGCAGCCCTAATACTACTCTAGTATTTGTTTAAGATGGTTCTATATTTCGTCGCTTGAGTAAAAGATTGTCGTAAGCGCCATTTTGACGATTTTTAGTTCTAGATGCAGGTACATATTTTGAAATAAGGTCTTTCGATTGGTGTTATCAGTTTTCAGATATCTCCTTTAGTTTCCGAGTATTCGACTACAATTTTTTCGATAATTTAGTAAAAATTAAGTTAGTGATGCAGTCATATTAAACTAATCAATATCTTAGAAATGATGTTCTCCACTTTTGTATATCTCCTTTAGTTTCAGAGATATTGAGTAAAAAGTGTTGTTAATTAAGTAGAAATTTTGATCACATTTTGTCGTATTTCATACAAAGTGGCTGCCAAATTGTGGACAAATGGCGCTTACGACAAAATTTTACTAAAGAAAATCCTTCATAAATTCAAAACTAATTAACAATAAACATTAAAAATTAAATAATTTAAGAGTTTTGTGAACTAGTAACATTTTCCAGAGACTTTGGATAAAATCTATCTTCGCGTTTTTGAGAAATTGCATTCCAAACTTCAATCGCGATTTCCCACAACCTACCGAAATTAGCATACGACAATCTTTTACCCTGGCGACGATTTGTTTCAGTCTTCCCTACGTCGCACAGAGCCACCTAAGTGGGCAAAAATAGAAAAATTCGTTGTCTGCAATGTGAATGTGTTTGGTATTTTTGTAAAGGTAAGTTATCCACTAAAACGAATTAAACAAAAATTTCTCCATAAAATGAATTATATGCCGCCAGAAAGCCACTAAAGTCGACAAATTTTATACGAAGAATATTAATAAAAGCATAGCCATGCGTAAGCTCTTCACGGAAACAAATGTGAAAACTACATCCGTTAAAATAAAATGTTGGTTTGACGTTTTTTATTTCCACATAGATAGTAGAGAGCTACAGGATAAAATATTTTGGACTAAAATTAAACACAGGGTGTCCCTGCGGTATTCCAGAAAAAAATTTTTTTTAATCAAAATTTCAAAAAATGGCAAGTTTTAATGCAATGAATAAAAACTATATTTAAAAATATGTTATTTTTTATTACTTTATTAAATAGTATGGGCTTTTAGCTTTAGAAAGAAGAAATAAAAACCTGCTCATTTTTTCACTTTTTGAAGTAATGCGTTTTTTCTAATGCATAAAATAATTTTTTAATTATTTGTCATTTTAACTAGGGTTGCCAGATTTTTTGGCGCGAAATCAGTACATTAGACTTTTTCATGCTATAAAAATCAGTACTTTTCAGTACACTTTTATTCCAAGCAGAATTATGAATTATATTAGCAGATAGTACTTTAAAACGCCAGAGTACTTGTTTTTAATAATATCTTGGTATATAAATAAAATGTTGTTCATAAATAATAAAAATGTTATTCATTTTGATATGAGTGTACACATTAACATGAAAACGAAATACCTTTATAATATCATTGTACACAGGAGCCAATAAATCTTATATATAAAAATAAGTTCACTTTTTTGGTGTGACTTCATAACTTGAGATCTATCATGCAGATGGTTTATGCCAAGTTTGTCCGAATTCGGAAAAGGGGGCGTGTCACCACCCATACTAACTAAAATATAAAAAATAAGTGAACGTTTTTGGTGTGACCATATAACTTGAGAACGGCTTCACCGAATTCAACCAAATTTATGCGACATATTCGGGCTATCATGCAGATGGTTTATGTGAAGTTTGCTTGAATTCGGAAAAGGGGGCGTGGCGCCACGATTTTATATATAAAATATAGTGAGTTAGCTTATAACTTGAGAACGGCTTCACCGAATTCAACCAAATTTATATAGCATATTCGGGCCATCATGCAGATATTTTATGTGGAGTTGGCCCAAATTTGTAAAAGGGGCCGTGGCATATGTATCTTATGTATAAAAAATAAGTACACGTTTTTGGTGTGAGCTTATAACTTGAGTACGGCTTCACCGAATTCAACCAAATTTATATAGCATATTCAAACTATCATGCAGATGGTTTATATGAAGTTTGCCCGAATTCGTAAAAGGGGGTGTGGCACCTACTATACTAACTAAAATTTGTATGCTGTATATCTCTTGAAATATTTGTGGTAGAGTACTAGAAATTGGTATAGAGGTATATCAAATAATTCCATACTCATGGAGAAAAATGGGCGGTATTGGAAAAGAGGGCGTGGCACCTCCCATCTTATATATAAAAAATGAGTGCCAGATTTCAACCAAATTTATACGACATAGTCGGGCTATTATGCAGATGGTTTGTGTTAAGTTTCCCCGAATTCGGAAAAGGGGGCGGGGCACAACCCATACNCCAAATTTATGCGACATATTCGGGCTATCATGCAGATGGTTTATGTGAAGTTTGCTTGAATTCGGAAAAGGGGGCGTGGCGCCACGATTTTATATATAAAATATAGTGAGTTAGCTTATAACTTGAGAACGGCTTCACCGAATTCAACCAAATTTATATAGCATATTCGGGCCATCATGCAGATATTTTATGTGGAGTTGGCCCAAATTTGTAAAAGGGGCCGTGGCATATGTATCTTATGTATAAAAAATAAGTACACGTTTTTGGTGTGAGCTTATAACTTGAGTACGGCTTCACCGAATTCAACCAAATTTATATAGCATATTCAAACTATCATGCAGATGGTTTATATGAAGTTTGCCCGAATTCGTAAAAGGGGGTGTGGCACCTACTATACTAACTAAAATTTGTATGCTGTATATCTCTTGAAATATTTGTGGTAGAGTACTAGAAATTGGTATAGAGGTATATCAAATAATTCCATACTCATGGAGAAAAATGGGCGGTATTGGAAAAGAGGGCGTGGCACCTCCCATCTTATATATAAAAAATGAGTGCCAGATTTCAACCAAATTTATACGACATAGTCGGGCTATTATGCAGATGGTTTGTGTTAAGTTTCCCCGAATTCGGAAAAGGGGGCGGGGCACAACCCATACTAACAACAAGTAAGAAAGTCTAAGTTCGGGTGGAGCCGAACATTAAATACCCGGCGCACGTATTAAAGATAGGTTTTTCACCTTACGGAAAGCTACCGCTATATGGTAAGCCGGGGCGTATCAATTTTGAGTAAATTAGAGCCCTTAGATTTTGAAATTTTGAAGTTTCAAGCAGTTCTTAAATTTACCGTTATATGTAAAGCGGCCTCAATTTTAGTCCGCTTTCAATAATTTTCAACGTTTTGCTTTTATGTGGCAAGCACAATAACCATACCGAGTTTGGTACAAATTGGTTGAACGGTTATCGAGATACATATATGTGATCATAAGTGGGCGGTGCTACGCCCATTTTCCAAAATTTTATCACAAACTTAATTCTTGGTTAAGAATTGTTGCAAGCATCAATTTTGAATACATTAGCTTTATTATTTACTGATTTATCGAAGATTTTGTATTTCTCTAAATTACCGTTATATGGGAAGTGGGCGTGGTTACAGTCCGATTTCGCCCATTTTTAATACCAACCTACCTTGGATAAATTTAAACCTGCATACCAAATTTCGTTCAGATATCTCAATTTTTGCTCGAGTTATCGTGTACACGGACGGACGGACAGACGGACAGACAGACATGGCTTAATCGATTTCTCTTTTCATTCTGATCATTTATGTATACATTTGTCTATATCTATCTCGATTCGTTTTGGCTGTTACAAACAACCATTATGTGAACAAAATTAATATACCCTTGTGCACAAGTGCGCTCGGGTATAAAAATTTTCATCTGGTATATCTCTTGAAATATTTGTGGTAGATTACTGGAAATTTGGTATAGAGACATATGAAATAATTAAATACTCATAGAGAAAAATGTGCGGTATTGGAAAAGGGGGCGGGGCACCTCCCATCTTAAATAAAAAAATAAGTGCACGAATTCTACCAAATTTAAACGGTATATTCGGACTATCATGCAGATGGGTTATGTGAAATGTGCCCGAATTCGGTCCAGCGGTTCATGATATATGACAGTTTATGTCTGTAACATGAACCAAGTATATGGTACAACAGCAGATACATGAGAAACCGAAAACATAGTGAAAAATTGTTGCTATGATGTGCTGTGTCTATTTTTTCTCCGGATAAATTAAGTCAAGTATAAACAAGGCTGCAATATAGTTCTCAATTAGTAATTAATATTTTTTTTAAACATATACGATTTAAAAACAACAAAAACAGATTGTTTTGGGGACTTTCGACAAACATTGCCCGTGATTCCACGATCAACACCGGCAGATGAGATCAATGCATGCTTGAAGTCTTTCCCCTCCGTGGCGATATGTGCAAAAATTGACATTACACATAAACATGCGTGTTCAGTTGTACAATAATCAATCTGAAGATCGGTTCTCGAAGCAATTGTTAGAGATCGGAAATGGAAAAGTTCAAATCGATAATACAAATGGCTTGATTATATTACCGAAGAATTTTTGTACAATTCTCCAATTAAAGGAAAAATTGATTGAACGCGTGTTTCCAAATATTGCTCAAAATTACCTGGATGACGATTGGTTGAGAGAACGTGCAATACGGGCACCAAAAAATGTACATGTCATTTCAATCAATTATCAAATTTTAGAAAAATTGCCAGGTGAAGTGACAATATATAAATCTCTTGATAGTGCAATGAATCTAGATGACGCAGTGAATTATCCAGTTGAATTTTTGAATTCATTGGAACCGCCTGGTATGCCACCACATTGTTTGAATTTAAAGGTCGGCTCATCAATTATTTTACTATGGAATATAAATGCTCCAAAACTGTGTAATGGCACAAGACTGGCAGTAAAACAATTGATGGCGAATTTAGTTGAAGCAACAATACTGACTGGCAAAGCAAAAGGTGAAATTGTGCTCATACCGCGTATTCCACTGATAACAACAGACATGACGTTTGGATTCAAGCGTTTGCAATTCCCAGTGCGTATAGCACTTGCCATGTCCGTCAACAAGGCGCAAGGACAAACTCTTCAAGTATGCGGATCGAATTTGGAGGCGCCGTGCTTTTCGCACGGGCAGCTATACGTGACCCGTTCAAGAGTTGGCATTCCAAATTGTTTATTTATTCATACCCAAGATGAAGAAAAACAAAAAATGTTGTGTATCCAAATGTGTTGGATTAAAATTTAAAATAAAGAATCAAAGGTTTTGAAATAAAACAAATGATAAATTTTCATATAGACAAATTCCAGGATTGTTCACTAATTTTTCAATATTTGGTGTAGAGAAGCACACCGGGGTACCGCTAGTTATTTTATATACATATATGACATTTTTTTAATAGCAATAATGAGATCATTTCCACTTTCAGTGTTTAAATAGTCCAAGAACTCTAAACATTATATGTATTTTAAAATTACTTCTAATTTGAAGTTGACTTTCTAAAATTTTAATTAGAAGTCGGTCTCTCTCTTTTCGCCACGAAGCAAACTTTATACTCAGCTGCTTCGTTTGAACGTGGTATTGAAAAAAACAAAATTACATATTTATTCAAACTGTGGAAAGATATTTCTATTTAAGGACTGCATCCGTATTTTCTCATGGCTAAATTATTTTTTCAACTGCGCAAAAACATTGAAAGACTAAGGCCCCTATTATGAGTTGCATTCGATCTTCGACTGTGGTCGAGTGCTGATCGAACGAATTTTCATTTGGTATTATGGCGCTCATTCGATGAAGAATAGCGCTATTGTGAATTTCGCTTGTTTAGGTTGTTCACAATAGCATATTTTCACCGCTGAGAATCTTTGTTTACAAATCGAGCAAACTAAATAGTGTTCTTAGACATACGTATGTATGTAGATATATAAATTTGTGCAAATTAAAATGAAATAAAAAAGAAAGCGACTTTAAAAAACGTAAAAATTATTACAACGGAGTTCTGCTTCAACGATTCAGAGGAAGAGAGTTTAGAAAACTGGCCAGGAGCAGAAAATATTTGAGAGAGTTTAAGAGTAGTCTTTCGAATATATTTTGACATACAATATATGAGCCATTCTTTTTTAGTCGGAGGGATTTCGTAAAAAAAATAATTTCATGTCTCCGATTCGCTTCAAATTTTTTCTGTGGGTTCTATATAAGGAATAAGCTAAACGTGTTCGAGGATTCTTTTTCTTCTTTTTTTCTTCGAAAATAAGATCTGTCAAAGTTTGCATTTATTCGTGATTTTGACTAATCATGTACTTCTTCAAATTGTTATATCTCGGGCTCTGCTGATCGTAGAGACTTGATCTTAACGTCATTTTAAGGCTAAGAAACGGGCTTGATATTTCTATATATAAGATGGTCAAGATTGTCCTAAAGCTAACTTAGCTGCTAACAGTTGAACATTTTGAAGTTGATTTGAATAGTGAAGACCAATAAATTAGGGATTTAAAATTCTACTATCGTAATCCTCTATAAAAAAACGTGGTTTAAAAAAATGAGGGGTTTTCAAGAACTATTTTTAAAATATTTTTCTTTATGACGAGATGGCTTATTTTGTGAGAATCAACAATTTTTTTTATTTTTTTTTCGAAAACTTATGTTAAGATATATTTGGTAAGGTGTTAATCATCGGGTTTTTGCAAAAAGTAAATTTTTATTGCGGATTCCGATAGAATACCTATCCAGATATAATATTTGTATGGCATGATTTTTCTTTAAGGCGACAAACCCCTAGAAATGGGCGTGGCAATTGCAGGACTAAAATTAACAAACCGCAGATTTTATTGCGGATTTCGGCAGAATATCGCTTCATTAATGTTGTTCCACAACTTTTTCAATCCATATTCTGGCGAAATCCACAATAAAGTCTAAATTTTTTAACTTAGGTTTTAATTTAGCCACGCCCATTTCTAGAATATTCTTTGATTGAAAAAGTTGTGGAACAACAAAGCGATATTCTTCCGAACTCCGCAATAAAATCTGCGTTTGGCACTCTTTAGTCCTACAATTGCCACCCCCATTTTTAGGGGTTTGTCGCCTTAAAGAAAAATCTTACCGTACAATTAATATACCTGGAAAGGTATTCTATCGGAATCTGCAATAAAATTTAAATTCTTGCAAAAACACGATGTTTAACACCTTACTAAATATATCTCTACATAAGTTTTGGAAAACAAATTACAAAAAATTATTGATTCTCACAAAATAAACCATCTCGTCATAAAGAAAAATATTTTAAAAATAGTTCTTGAAACCCCCCCATTTTTTTGGGAAAATGTTTTTTATAGAGAATTAAACAAGGATTACGATGGTATAATTCTAAATCCCTAATTTACTGGTCTTCACTATGCAAATCAACTTCAAAAAGTTCAACTGTTAATATTGATCACCTTATATATAGAAATAAAACGACGTTAAGATGAAGTCTCTACGATGGGCAGAACCCGAGATATAAGGATTTGAAGGAGTACATGATTAGTCAGAATCACGAAAAAATGCAAATTTTGACAGACGTGTTAGCTTATTTCATGTATAAAACCAATAAAAAAATTTGAAGCCAATCGAAATTGTGACACCAAATTTGGTGTCCGATATGAAAAAGAATGCCTCATATTTAGGAAATTTTGTGACCCAAATCTATTTAAAATATATTAAAACTATCAACAGCTCAATGATTTTGTGATCGTGACAACAGAGTATTGGGATTTTATTTCATAAGTAAAACCAGCCTTTCGAGCTTGTGCTTAGTATTCACGACGTTAGAATTGCAGAAAATTAATAATAATTGTTTAAAATTAATGTCTAGCCGCCAAAAATTAAGAAAACAAATGCAAAACCATACATTTTTTCATAATTTTCTAACACTTCGCTACACCAACGAAAGCAAAATTCTGTTCGACAGAAAATTCGATACTCAACGAAAATTTCGACACGCTTGCGAAGCTCATTATACGAATTTCACTCTCGATTTTCGATCTTCGATAGTCAGCGAAGATCGAAAATCGAATGCAACTCGTAATAAGGGCCTAAGAATTCTCCAAAAAGAGTATCTAAATTGAGTCTGTAAATTGAGAAAAACGAATTGTAAGTTGTAGGCAAAGCCATTCAATTATTCAAATTTGTTGTTATTAAACTGAAGGTTATTTTCGAGATATCTAACAACACTCGACAAAAAACGTCAGCCCTCTTTTTAAATAAATTATACGCCATGATATTATCGCAACTGGTAGGTAATGACCCGCAATATGCACATAAAATGATTGCTCTTTTGTATTAATTTCTTGCGCATTTTAAACATTACGTAAAACATGTCAACTATAATTAAATTATTCTCTTCTTACTTTTTACAGTAAATTTTAAGAAAGTTCCAACGTTATGTAAAAATCTTAAGCAAATCGTAAAGTATTTTTTTTTTTTTGTAAAATAATATTACACAGACAAAATACATGGGGTAAATTACCGATCACCGAGTTACCGCGTACCAAGCCCGTTGGAAAGAACCCTATTACAAATTTGATTGCTCAGAATTGAAAAATCAGTACAAATCAGTACAAATTTAAAAAAATCAGGACATTAGCGTACTGACTGAAGGAATGAATAAAATCAGTACGAAAGTTGAAAAGTCAGTACTGTACTGATAAAATCAGTACGTCTGGCAACCGCAGTGCCAACAGATCTGCACGATTTGTTCTATTTTCAAAAATGAAGTGTCAGAATAAAAAGTTTGAACTCTAGATAATAGGAGCGTTCCTTATCTCCCAGAAATAGTCAGAAAAAGTCCGAAGTAGTCAGATTTAGTCCAAAAAGCGTTCCTTAACTCGGAAATGACAGCAAAAATGAGAGAGCAACAGTCAGTGAGAGTGACTCTCATCAGTCCGAAGTAGTCAGATTTAGTCAGAAGAATTTTTTCTGGCAAAATCCTGAAAAGTGTCAAACTCAACTGAATTTAAATTAACGGAAATTAAAGAATACGCAAAAAGTGAGAATAATCTAAAAAGTAAAAGAAATGAATTGAAATTGGAAGGAGGCAAAAAATAATTGATATAGCAAGTGTTTATTGTGCTTGTGCTTGTGTGAATGTGTTTTGTACATACATTTCTGTTCTTATTTGACGTTAGTTTTGTTGTTGCCATTCTTTGGACTAGAAATTTGGTTTTTTGCGTTCCTTTACTTTTCCTGTTATTCTCTTTTAGTGAGCGCATTTTCCTTACGCTCTGGCATTTTGACACTTTTCAGATTTTAGTCCAAAAAGATAAGGAATGAACCTAATAGAGGCTTATTTTTTTAAGAGTTGCCACCTGTTTAAAAATTAAATTCAAATTTTTTAATAAGTTAAATGAACTATTAAGAGTTGGGTATCAATCGAAATGTGCATGAAAAGGGTTTATTTCTTAAATACATGTAAAGAGTTGACACCTGTTTAAAAAATTAAAAAACTATTGAATTAAAGGAACTAGGTAATTGAAATAGATAGGTATATGTGGGAGTCAGGCGAAAGCGTTTTAAAAAGGTTTTAGCTTGCAAATATTACGAAGACGGTTGCCGCCTGTTTGTGAAGTCAAATTTAGTTAAACTAAAATAATAATTGTGTCAAACCAAAGGTTTATGACATCGTATTTGTTATGTTATTACCAGGGAACGGATTTTATGGAAATTGCCTTTTTTTCTGCTAAAGAGATAGAGTATATTCGATTAAGAATGTCCACGATTTAGCTTTCCCTGATTCCATATATACACATTTGATGTTGCCTTTTTTAAGATATTTGCCTTTTTTTGGCTTTTCTACCTTTAAAAAAGTGATTATAGCATTTAAAATTGTTTTTCAAAGATTAAAAAATATACACATTGCCCACGCGGCTTATAGAAGCGCACAGACCTCTTGCCAAATTGGTGTTGGAAAAATCAAAGCAGTTTTCTCAGCTAGCGAAGGCTTGGAGACAATATGGGGTGTGGATAAAATTGTAAAGGGCGAGGAAAACGCCCTTATTCCTGATAATATGAACATTTCAAACGTTCCTTATTTAAATTGGGCGCCGCTTGTATCAACT